GCATATTTCTTTTGCAGCAGCTGTCTGCTCAGTCCTTCTGTGGGAAGAGGCCTGCTGTGCCACAGCCCACCTAGACATCATTGACTTTGATTTGCAGCCTAAAATTGAAACTTTTTAAAAAAGTCAAAAAAGAAAAATTGTCTTCTTATATCCACCAATAACACTCCAGGAAGTATTTCAATGAGATAAAGGGTTAATGAAATGATTAAACATGAGTGATACACATGTTCTTTTAATTGTTTAAAAGTGTTCTAATATGAGGTTACATGAATGACTGTAATCTCAAAAGTACTTATTATTATTGATTATTATTATTATCAGGTAGCCCCACTTAATCAGTACTTCACTGGTCCTTGTATCTTTTGTCTTTCAGATATAACACGTTGCTGGCGGTCATCTCTCAAAGTCTCGGTGATATAGTGAAGGCTCTGAAGGGTTTAGTGGTGATGTCATCAGAACTGGAGCTTATGGCCAACAGCCTGTTCAACAATGTGGTGCCTGATATGTGGAAAGCCAAGGCAAGACACACACAAGTGTTCTTCTCCTGAGTCCCTTGTGGTTACCAGTGGTCAGCTGGCATGTAAAACGTTATGTAGCATAACAAATCTCAGGATGAAGTATTTACATGAATTCTTCCTTTTGACAGCATTCATTTTTAAACATTTACCTTCTCATATTTTGATACATTTAACAATTCTGGATCATATTAAAGAGAAACCCCGATCCACACACACACACACACACTTAGTCAGTATGCACAGATGCTGCACGTCTTGCAGGGGAAGCCACAAAACAGACACAATCCTACATCTTTTAGGGGATTTTTTTAAGGTAATGTCAAAGTACAGAGAACTGTGCCTTCAACTGAACTAATATTATGACATCCATCAGTGCGTGTTATTGTGTGCAGTTGGGGATGAGACTCAGTGTGCAGGACATCACATGGACTTTTGGTGACATTTCTGTGCTGCCCTAATAATTCCAGGCTCTGCTTTCTAATAATACGTAACTCTTTGACTGGCCGTGTGTCTCCCTCCCTCCAGGCCTACCCGTCTCTGAAGCCTCTGGCCTCCTGGGTGTCAGACCTGCTTCAGAGGATCAGTTTTCTGCAGAGATGGATCAGTAAAGGCATTCCACCTGTTTTCTGGATTAGCGGCTTCTTTTTCCCCCAGGCTTTTCTCACCGGAACCCTCCAGAACTTCGCCCGTCGCTCCGGCACCTCCATCGACACAATTGGATTTGACTTTGAGGTCAGACAGTGTGTCTGTGTCATTCTGCTCACTAGCTAAAAACACACTGATGTTTTTTTTGTCAGATATAGCAGTACACATTGACCACTCTGAACTGACTGTGTATGAATATCGACATGTACTGTAAATGTTTTTTTATTATTTTTAATGGTTGATACTGACTGTGATCCTGTTTCTTCTTTATCTATTTCGTAATCCCCTTCAGGTGGTAGTGAAGTCAATGTCTGAGATAACAGAGAAACCAAACACGGGCTGCTACCTCCACGGTCTATTCCTGGAGGGGGCTCGCTGGGATAACGAGGCCGGTCAACTCACAGAGTCCAGGCCCAAGGAGCTCTTCACAGAAATGGCTGTCATCTGGCTGATCCCCAAACCCAACCGAAAACCTCCGACCTCTGGGGTCTACGTCTGCCCCATCTACAAGACCCTCACTCGTGCTGGTTAGTACAAACTAGATTCATCTATATTACAACTAATACCATTTGATAGTTTGACTAACAAGTGTATTAACCCTGTTTTTTAGTGTGACTTGGTGTTGGTCTGCTCACTCTAGGGTTTGTGTGCATCACCTTTTGGTGGTTTTATTACTCACCCAAAATAGACTCCAGTTAGTGTCCTGTTTCACGAAGCGCCTGAAAGTGCAGCTCTGTATTTTCCACCCACAGCACGTAGCCTCGTGCTGCTCAGAAACACAGTGCGGTGATGGAAAACTACAAACAATTTTCTTCATGTCACTGAACTACTTTGTGTGCTTTTGTAGGGACTCTGTCTACAACCGGCCATTCCACCAACTATGTGATCGCGGTGGAGCTGCCTACACACCACAGTCAGAGACACTGGATCAAAAGGGGAGTCGCCCTCCTCTGTGCACTGGACTACTAAATATAGACACAAACACATTTTTTTTAAATGAGAAACACCTGTCTTTATACTGTATGTTTGTTTTACAGCCCACAACAATGATGACGCTTTCTCTATGCACTTCATGTCACTAAAAATGAGTTCATTGAAACTCTCCTTCAGTCTGTGTAATAAACAGTTTTTCACAATGCAATATTAGTGTAATACTGTTATGTAGGATTATTCACTTTGATGAAATCATTTGGTTTAAGGAACAACATACTATGCTGTACCTTTTCAGGACCAGACGTCCATATGTAAGTTTAGCTCTAAATCTACTCTCCTCCTTTACTCTCATAAACCAACAACCAGCTTCTCTTGTTGTCCACAGTGTGCACTGAGCACTGATGTGAATATACGTGCTGCTCCTTTAAGGCGGCCACATAGGCCCGGTTGAGAAATATGACTGCTGGGTGGTGCTTAAACAAACAGTGACAGTGACTGGCCGTGATGTGAGCGCAACTGAAGGAGTCCAGATTGAACAGGAAACTGAGATCACCAGGATCAGCAGAATACCCTCACTCCTGCTGTCTGTTAGAGACCTCACTGGAATTTATTCTTTCTCTGACTTTCAGATCTTCTAAAGATATCTGGATTCCTCTGAAGAGTTGGCAAGTCAAAAAAAGGGGAAAAAAAGGCGGGCATTTAAGTTCGGTGAGAGAAGAGTGGTTATTGTGTAGTTTAAACAAATGTAATTAGTTGTATAAGCCACAGGCGAACCGTACAGTGGGATTACCGTGCGGAGTCCTCAGGGGCTGCGCTGCCCAGGACAACCAGACGCGCCACCGCTGCTGGAGGAGTCCTCGGCAGTTACCGGAGGGCAGCGGGAGTCAGCGCACTACTTAGGTGAATTACCCACGGTGTGTTTCTTCCCCCGCTGGTGACAACGAGCCGGTGTGAACATGTTACAGAATGGAAACGAAAAGGAGAAACTGCCGCAAGCGCCGAAGGCTGAAGCGGAACCGGACTCTCCGACTGGAGACCCGAAACAGCAGCAGCCGCAGGAGCCGCAGGAGCCGCAGGAGCTGCCCGCTCCTCCCGCTGCCGACGGGGAGTCCACACAGTTCCCCCTGCCCGTTTATCCCAAACTGGAGATAAAGCGCAACGCGGTGACGGACGATTATAAGATCTCCAGTCAGGTTCTGGGCTTAGGGATCAATGGCAAAGTGCTCCAGTGCTTCAACAAGAAGACTGGAGAGAAGTGCGCACTGAAGGTACTGAAGACACCTGACACTTGTGTAATAACCAGGGTAGTAGAGGATAGACACCCTCAGCTCAGTTTACACACCTCCATTAGCCAGGCAGTGCTTTTAACCGTGAACGTTACATTTATAGTCACTTACAGCATAATTAAAGGATTAGAAGCATTTTGAGTGTTTCCCAAATGATCATAATTGAAAAACAGACCTGGACACACTATGATATTTCTGACAATGTCTGGAAATAATTTATAGTTGTTGTTTAGTGGCTCATCTCTTTGGTGGTTAATCTACACATCTGTTTAGATTTGGCTCCTGAGTTGATCCTTTAAATATATGTTTTGTCCTGCATCCACTGCAGTAACTGTAGGAAAATGGAAATCTGTCTGCATTGTGGTGTGAAGAAGTAGATTTGGGAGCTCTCATATTTATAGTTTTCTTTATGACTTAAATGACCAGCCATTCATCGTCCTGACCATGTCATACACATACACATACTCAGCATGTTGTATATCATGTAGGTTTGAGTTGTTGTTTCAGCAGATGACAGCTGAGAATCGAGGCCTGTTTTATTTCTGTCTGCAAACATTACAGATATATCTTTGAACCAAACCTTCATAACATCACAAAACGGCCATTTGATCAATTTCAGATCAATAGCAGGTTTCAAACCTGCTTATTTTGGTGGCAGGGCGACCATTAACAAATGAACAATAACAAAGTAACAATTGTACGTTATATAGAGGATTAAATGTTAATAACATAATAATATATATTTTTTGTATACATTTATCATGATATCTAAACAGGGTTTAGTTTGTGTGTTTAAGTCGGTTGCCAAGATTCAAAAACTTTGACCTGTATTGCGTTCAGATTTCTGTCACAGACTTACCGGACTAACACCGAAGCTTGACATAGAGAGACTATGATTAGCTTACATGCATGTCTGAACTATACTTCTGCATTGATGTGTACCAGCTGCCCACATTGGGCTTTACATGTACTGTACATGTTGCCCACTGGGCTCACGTGCTCTACATGTGGACAGGCTGAATGTGATCATGGCGCAGTGTTTTCCTGGAATCTCGTCCTATCTCTGGATCAGATGCAAGTTCAGGGGCGCACAGTCACCCACCCGGCCATATGCTGTGCCATGTTACACTCGTCTCATACAGCCACATGGATTTTGACAGTAACACCATATTCTGGGCAGCAGTGGAAAGTTGGGCCTTCATACACGGGTCGTCAGGCTGTCACCTGTCACCACCGGGGCCACAGACTCAGAGAGATTTACTGGCTTACAGTAATCCATCTGGATCTGAGCTGACAAACCAGGCAGCAGCAGTGTCACAGGCTGAGCTGTGGACCCGGGCTCTGGGAGAGAAAGGGAGGCAAAGGATGAGAAAGAGAGATAAACAGCAGAAAATAGGAAGGCACATACAAAAGATGAGAGGCCAAGAGGGATTCAGTGCTTGATAGCATCACGCCAGCCTGGGAGAGGCAAGAACACAATTACTGCTTATAAATAAAAGAAAGAAAGCAGAGAGAATGATAAAAAAAAAGTATGTTGCCACAAAATCTTCAGGCTGCTTGCTGAACTCAACTCATGTCAGAGAGGTAAGAAAACGCAGTTGGTCCACAGTACAGGAGTGACAGCATCCATAACAGCCTGGTGCTTGACATTCTCCAGCTTCCAGCAGGTCAGAGTGACCCCAGCTAAGAGGACGCCCCACAGACCCAACACTCTCTGAAACCCTCTTAGCTTCCTGAAGCCCCTGTTAAAAGCTTTGAGAGATAACAAAGGAACCACTCATTTAGCTCTTGCTGGTGTCTGTGTTAGTGTGCTTGTGCATTGTACTGGACTAAGGGACAGTTTTCTGAGTGTACTTTTATTCTACTTTATTGCCATTTAAGCTAATTTACGACCATCCCAGTATTGTTTTAATCTCAAAGCAAATAGAAGGCGAAAGGAAATAATGGAGAGTGTTGGATGTGTGTGGGAGATGTGGAGAGTTTACCAGCTCACTGGCTTTTTAATTAAGTGTTGCTCTGAGCGCTAAACGTAATGGATGGGTACAGGTTTAATCCACTTTGGAGCTGGAGGGGAGCCATCCTCTTAATGTAATTCAGTTAGTCATCAGGATTCTTTTAACTTGGATTTGTTTGACTCCTGGGAGGAGACGGACCTGGGAGATCCTTGTGCTTCATAGCAGTCCTCCTTAGCACCGCCATTAACTGTTAATACCACTGGAAGCACGGTTTTTGGCCAGTGATTTTTCCATTTTAGCATCTGAAGTACCTTCCAGCTTAGCGCACGGAAAACTGTACAAGCTACAGGTCTGTGTACAGGCTTCCATTCATAGTCTTCCCTTCAGCCTCTGTGGTCTGCTGTTTGGCATGCTGGTGGCACATGTGGGTTTCCTCTGGGACTTACAGAAACCAAACTGACAGAAATTCTAGTGTTTTGGTCAGACGCTGCTGAAAGCTGCACTCAGATCTTCTGCAGGCTCGCTCCAGGCAGCCGGTGCTGTTAAACCAGTTAATCAGTCTCAGAGGTTTGGGCTTATAAATATCCATTTACTCTCAAGCTTCAGCTGCTTGTTGTGCAATCCAAGCTCATTATCTGATTTGAGTGTAGTGTGGAGGATACATGCTTCAGTCTAACATGTCTTGAATGAATGCAGCAGCTTTGTGGTGGAGGATCTTTGTAGTATTCAGAAGAGAGAAGTGGTGTTGGTGTTGATCACTCCTGCTGTCTGCTCAGTTTATAGAAGAGGAACTTTGATTTTACTGCCTAGTGGGGACATTCAGTGGGGATTTTTAGCTCCGGTTCTCTATGATTTAAGAAAAAACATAAAAAAATATACCATAGGTGTTTTTCTTACTTGAGTTGGAGGTTTGTGGTGTAATGAGTATGTTGGGTGAGTTTCTGAAAGATGTTTTAAATTGTATTATAATACTACAAACAAACTACATAGCACTTTGTCCTGTCATTTTTAGCCATGCTAGAGGTGCAGCTCCAGGGATGGTTGTTGTTCAGTGCTCAGATATCTGAACAACATTTGGATGTATTGCCATGAAGTTTAGTTCAGACATTCATGGAGCCCAGAGGATGAATACTACGTATTGCTTTCAGTCCGACAAATGTACGTTTGTCCAATATTTTGTTTTATGACCCAAAACCTGCAAAACTAATAAAACACAACAATTTCTATATTCAGGTGATTAAACACTAATAAAAACACACTTTTTATATATTATATTCCATATCCACCAACAGATCCTCCTAAACGTTACACACTGGACCTTTAACTAAGCTGCTGAACATGGTTAACATAGACCTTTTTCACAGCAGCCATTTTGACATGAAATAGTAGGGTAAACACAGGCGTTGCCAATGATAGTAATTAAGGCACTGTTCTATTCAGGTCAAACAGGGTGCTACTATTGTGCATGTTGGCTCCGTGGAAACCCTCTACTACATTAAATGGAACTGGAACTTTAATTAGTAAAATTGGTGTTTACCCTACTATTTCATGTCGTGAAAAAAACGTTATACCTGCTGAACATCAGCATGTTAGCATTGTCACTGTGAGCTTGTTGCCCTGCAGGTGTGTTAGCATTCAGCTCAAGTACAGCCTCATAATAATCGTCATATATCGGTGTTATTATTAAACCGCATAATTTTAGTCATAGATTTAATAAAGCAGTGCGCCATTGATTTTGCTGCACAAAGCAAGTATGGATAAAATGTATTTTAGCAATTACTGATTAACTGTTTACTGCTTTGATGTAGACGCTTTATTGGCTGAAGTTGTAAAGATAAACCTTTTTATGAAGATATACAATCCAGCGCTCTGACAACCACTAATATTTGATAGAGTGTAAACATCCTGGAGCAATAGAGTGTGTGGGGGGGCGTTGTCAGGTAGAGGTGTGTGTGTGTGTGTGTGTGTGTGTGTGTGTGTCAGTGTGTGTTACAGTCTCTATGGACAGAGTTCTGATTGGTTCAGAGGAGCGTGAGGTTGTGGTTGATTGGCTTAGAGCAGGATCAGGGACAAGCGATTAACTACAGCCCCCTTCGTGTTTTATATGTGTATTTAATCCACACAGTCCTTTTTTATTGTAGCTAATTCTGGTTCATTGCAGGAAATTAAGGAAACCTGCTCTTATGCTGTCTGCTCTGATTAAAGTCATAAAGCTATAAATGACAGAGCAGAAAGTAACCTGCCAACTGCTTTGCTTCACAGAATAGGCCACATGTAGTAGTAGATCAGACAAATAAGTCACCGGAAACCCTCAACTTCTACTTTCAACACCCTGCTGCTCTGAAACTCTTGGCCCTCACTTCCTCTTTGACATTGGCGAGCTGACACACAACATCGCGACCAGTTTTAACATTTGGAGTTTCCAAGAAATGTTCCATTATTTCATTTCCACCCATAGATTTGAATCTGACATTTTATAAATATACAATATCTATTCTTTCCACATTTTAAGTTCACCCGTTAGAGAACACAGGGTTAGTGTGTGTGCGCGGGTGTGTGTGTGTGTCGTAGGTCAGTGAGTCAGCCTCGCTGTCAGTTATGTACTCCAGACTCGGTCTGTGACCAGGCCGGCCTTGTGAACAGCAGATCGTTCCATCACTGTCATATCCAAAAATACACTGTGACTGAAGACGTGTGCTATGTCAAGGTCCGCCACTTGCTGTGTGTGCGTGTGTGTGTGTGTGCATCTGCTTATGTCAAACACACACAGTCTGGTCATGTGACCGGTTTGCTTTAAGAACTGTATGTGTGTCCTCGTCTTACACAGAGTGGATCAGCTAAGACAGTCAATAATTGCGTCATTGTTCTTATTACTATAAGCTTTTATTTGATTTATTTTCGACACAAATTGAAGGGTCAATTTTCGCCAACTAAAACAAAAAGATGTATAATTATTTAACCCTGTAAAGGATGATATAGGTAACAAGAATGTTTTGTTTTTAACTAAATTAATATCTGACATGGTGCCAAGATTTGAGGGATAGAGGCTATAATAGGTCCATGTGATATGGTTGACATTATCACTACAGTGTTAATAAGATAATGACAATCAACTAATCAACATTAGTGCTGCAACTAACAATCCATTTTGTTACTGATTAATTTAAATTATTAGTTTTTAAATTAATCAACTTTATGCTATAAATATTTAAGAATATCCATCACAGTTTCCATAAGTAACAGCTTCAGATTGCTCGTTTGGTCTAACTAACAGTTGAAAACCCAATATTGAATGTACAATGATATGAAAAAGAGAAAAACAGCAAACTGAGAAGCTGCAACCAGAGAAACTCAAATCGACTTAAATAACTAATTTAGTTAGTTGTTAATCACTGCATGTCCTGAACATTTACTGACATTTTATATGATATAAAGGCAATGTGATTCCACTGAAACTCGATTAACAAAAGTATTGAATGAGCATAGCAATGTAAATAGATTTATTGAGTTCATTAGTACCGTCTTACACTGAAAACCTTATTTTATATTCATCATCAATTCATTTTGGATTCATCTTTCTCTGTGTGTCTCCCAGATTCTCTACGACAGCCCCAAAGCGAGACGAGAGGTAGAGCTCCACTGGCGAGTATCAGGAGGACCATATATCGTTCCAATCCTCAGCCTGTACGAGAACATGCATCATGGGAAGAAGTGCCTGCTCATCATCATGGAGTGGTAGGATTCACATTTCATCACCAGTTTACACACCCTGACAACCACGGATTTCCCTATTATGTCTTTATATCTGGTGATGTTTAGTGTGAGTTATCGGATTAACTGATAAATCACTTAAAAACTTGTTTATCAGGTTCAAAACTGGCATCAAACTTACAGTGACTACAAATTCCCAGAAGTCACAGCTCTGGACTAACTTGCCTCTTTTCAACTAATAGAAACTGGGAAGTTACAGTCGCTGTACTTACAGGTTTCCACTGGAATTTATGCATGTGCTTTGTGATAAATAAAGACAACACACTCTAGAGGGGAATAAATACAACTCGATAAAAATCAGCACAAAATCACAACGTACATTTAGAGCTTCAGTATGAACATATGTTGCAGAAGGTTTATGTGACCCACATATGTTATTTTCTGTATAAATATGGAAGAAGAATCTGGTGACGACACCTATGGATTTAATATTTCCAGGTTTTAGCCCACTCTGTTAGCCAACCTGAAGCCTATCTCAAGTTGCTTTTCAGAATGTTTTTTCCACCATGTTGAGAAGGCTGAAGGTCATCTGTCTCCCAACAAAACAAATCTCTCATAAAGCCATTCTCCTGAAAAAGCTTTAGGATATTAATTTTTCCAATATATCTAATATGCTCATATATTTTCACGCACAACAGAACCCAGTGAGTGTGTGTGCATGTGTGTCTGCAGTGTTCAAGCATGAGCTTTGTGCCACCGAGGGCAGAACGTTAACACATGCTAAAGGTCAGTCATAAGACCTGACGCGCTGCAAAGTGAAAACGTCGACACTGACGGTGAGATAGAGGGACAGATTCCATCTGGGCTGCACATGTCATGACAAACTGTCCATAACAATACCCAGAGTGACTGTGAAAGTGATAAAACATTGTGTGTGTGTGTGTGAGCTGTAGTTGAGCTTTGTACTTACTCTTTCACTTGTAGGAGGAGGAAAAAAAACAATCCAGAGGAAAAGAGAAATGACACTGACCTCTGTTTATGGGGATTTTAATCAGTGACTAACTGGTTCTCATCATCACATTTATTGACACAGCAACTATGAGTGTGGTACTGTATGTCGTGCCCTTGTGTGTGTGTCAGTAATCTCTTCCTGTGCGAGTGCGGGTCAGAGGGGGACAGCAGTACAGCCTACTGCAGTCCTTTGACTGTAGCACACATTTCTCTCTCCATTATCTGTTCATCTGTGTGCTTATGAAACACAACAGGCTGACTCTTACCTAAAGCACTCAATGCAAATCCATGTCACAGTTTGCACAAACACATTTTTCCGGAAGGGAACGTTTCAGACATCAGTGGTTGGTGAGTGGGTGTGAAAGTGGAGAGTGGGAAGCTCAAAGACCTGATGTCTTTGGTGGCATAAGTGTCTGAACTTTGAAAGAAGTGGGTCAAAGCTCTTCGATAGGAAAGTTTGTGTTAAGTTAGTGTGTTGTTAGTTTGTGTGTGCAAAATATGTTTTCACATTAACTCTGTTGGTTCTTTCTTTCTTTTTCTTTTCTGAAGAAGACTGACTCAGTATTTTTAGAATTTCACTTTCACTCATCATTTCTCTTTTCAAGAGACGGAAAGCTTCAGTAAATATATCGTTTTGTCAAACTTATCAGGGTAATGATTTATTGTTGTAAGTTGCACAATAGCAGGTCATTACTATGGTTATATCAGATAATAGTTAAATTTTTTTTGCTAAGTCTGGAGTCTGTGTGGAGTCTAACAGTTATACTGTAATTGTGATGCTTTGTACACATTTATTTATTAGTTCCAGCTTGATTCATTACTAATTCCATTACTGTTTCCCAGTGCCTTCAACACAAGTAGTAATTACTTATAGTCCCCCTCCACACAAAAATACAGGGCCTACCAGCATGATTTGTGACATCACAAATAGTTTGGAAGTCCATTCTGGTCCAGTTTGCAACTTGTACAGTGTGATGTAGAAACTTGAAGCCACCAGTGCACACACAGTGAGAATGGACTTTACAGTGAAGGAGGAGACATATTGTGTCCAGCAGGAAAACTTCAGAAATTAACAAAATGTGAATATTTATAGACTCTGATATTTTTAATGAGATGGTCTGGAGGGGATCTTTAAATTCAAATGTTTATTTTGGCAAAACATTTTTTCTACAGAAGGCAGACGTTAAAGTGTGAAATACTGAGCCTCTCATTGATTTTAGAAATCCTCAGAACATTTTATAAACATTTGTTGATGTGTGATATTCAGTGTAATTTGTGCAGTTTGTAAATTGTGTGTGTGTGTGTGTGTTTGTGTGTCTCCAGTATGGAGGGAGGAGAGTTGTTCAGCCGAATCCAGGCCCGAGGTGACCAGGCCTTCACTGAGAAAGGTGAGGACTGATGGAGGGAAGGACTGATAAACACACCACAGAATGTGTGAGAGAAAGACTGAACCATTTTTCCCAGGAAAGAGTGATATAAGGCAGACAGTACAGAACAGAAAATAACCTGTTTGATTGTTTTTCTGTTTTATTTGTATCTCTTGTGTCTGGTTTGAGAGAGTGTGTTTTCCTATTTTCCTCCCAGAGGCTTCTGAGATTATGAGGGACATCGGCACGGCCATTGACTTCCTCCACAACATCAACATCGCGCACAGAGACATCAAGGTGCAGAAAGATGAAGATCACCTCCCAGATCATGAAAAATGTGATTAGTACTGAGACACTGAAGGACATTCTGTCTTATTTTTTCTTTCTTCTGCCTCCTAACCAGCCAGAGAACCTGCTGTATACCACTAAAGAAAGAAATGGGGTCCTCAAATTAACAGACTTTGGCTTTGCTAAGGAGACTACGCTACACAACCCTCTACAGACCCCCTGTTATACGCCGTACTACGTGGGTAAGTTGTTATTTTGTAAAATGCTCTTATTTTCCTGACAGATGAACGTTTTTGACAGATTTTTAAATAGGAAAAACAACATAGTGTCTGAAGCCATTTTTTGACACTGATCTCCATTTATAATTTTTTATCTATTTCTGTGTGTTTGTGTTTTGCCAATGATAAGCTCCTGAGGTTTTGGGCCCGGAGAAGTATGACAAGTCATGTGACATGTGGTCTCTGGGCGTCATCATGTACATCCTGTGAGTACTGCTTTTATATGATGCGTTTTGTAAATGGATCCTTCAAACAAAGCGTAGGTCAATCTTTTTAAGGTTTTTAAAGTTGCTGTCTCTGTCCCACCACATTTGTCTCTGTAGGCTGTGTGGCTTCCCTCCATTTTACTCCAATACAGGCCAGGCCATTTCTCCGGGGATGAAGAGGAGGATCAGGATGGGCCAGTACGAATTCCCCAACCCAGAGTGGTCGGAGGTGTCACAGGAAGGTTAGAATTACATTTGTTGTTGTGGTATTTTTCTGGAAAATAAAATAAAGTCTTCTTGATATGAACTGTTATTATGAGCTGACAAATTAATGTTACAGTTAGATGAAAACTGTAGCAGACCAGTAAAAGATTACAGATTACAGTCGAAGAGAGACAGACGGATATAAGCAGAACACAGACATAGGCAACAGTAAAAGCAGTGGGAACAGCAGACAACGTAACAACAAATGCAAGCAAGGACAGAACAGCTTCAATGAGCCGGAGACACTTCATCATGAACCCTGCAGCATTAAACAAGGAGGGATAATAAATAAATTAATTACTGGAATTAAATGTAACAATAGTAGGCATATGATATGACTGTTTGTGAGCAAGTGCTCTGCTGGAGTGTGAAAAACACATCATGCTGTCCGACTATTTTTATTCTCTGTAGCAACCAGAAAGACATGTCAGTGACAACACATGCATTTTGTGTTCGGCCGTGTTCAAGATAAAGGTTAAAGAACTAAACTTTTCCTGCTCAGAGCGAGCTTTCTGTCAGCAGGTGGTGGCAGGGGGCAGTTTGGTTGTGTTCCAGCTAAAAGAGAAAGATGACAAAATGATAGCATTCTGCAAACGTTTACAAAATGATCTGAATATGAGTCAAAGCACCCTGTCTGACATGTGAAGAGCACTTTCATGTTTATCTGCATCAATCAAGCTCCACAGTGAAGAACAGGAAACCATAAAACAGCTGACTCTGCCTACACACCTTTACTGACCTAGTCAAAGCCTCTCATGTAGAAACCTCAGTATGTGATCAGCGGCAGCACTGGGGGGCGCGCTGCACTTTTTTCAGACATCATTGTGCTGTATCACCTCTTTAAGCTCCATGTGCTGTCACCTGAAAGTGCGGTCTCTGCAAACAGACAACATATTATGGTTTAGGTCTGTGTTTGCCTTTGCTGAAAGCACAGTGCTGCCCCGGCGATCACTGTAGTTCATCTCCCACACTCACTGTCTGGCTGCTAAAGACTTACAACAAATGATCATGCACAAACTCTTTTATGAGTCATCTTACAGAAAACTCAGAGACAACAGCCAGCTGGTGACGACGCATGACTCTGTACACACTCTGACATTTTCTATTTTTTCACTCAATCTCGCTCTTCTCTCTCAAGTAATCCTATTTGCTGTGTAAGTAGGCCAGTCTGTCCCTGAGACTAGGAGAAGCTTCATAAGATTTGCATGCGTGTGTGTTGTTGTGATAATTATTTTTGCGTCGCCTTTTCTCTTCCAGCAAAAGATTTAATCTATCAGCTACTGAAGACGGACCCCAACGAGAGGATGACCATCACTCAGTTTATGAACCACCCGTGGATTAATGTAAGTATCTGTGTGTGGAGTACAAATAGACATTGTATACTTCCTGTGCTGCTTCCTGTTTGTCTGTGCATCTGTTTGCTCATATCTTAATCTGTATGTGTGTGTGTTTGCACTCTGCAGCAGTCCATGATGGTTCCTTCCACTCCGCTCCACACCACCCGGGTTCTGACTGAAGACAGAGAGATGTGGGAGGATGTGAAGGTCAGAAGCACAACAACACTGCCCCCCTCTGGTCACTCTTTTACATTACAACCTGTTGCTGCTGTGCTGCTTTATGTTGACCCCAGTGCTACAGAGGAATTCCAGCATTTAAGTATTAAACAGCCATGAAATTTAGGGACAAATTTAAAAAATAATGGCCAAAATGGTACAGGGGAAAAGCTCCAGAACTGCTGTTTCCTATAATGCAACTCAAGAGAATCTTTCATGATCCTGCATACCTGGTAACTACCCACAGCTTCCTATGGCTATAACTCAAGTTAGATAACTAAAGTTTGTAATGCTTTCTGCCCAGAAATAAGATATGTGGGACATATCTTATCTAGATATGTAAGATAAGTACTTTATTAAATTGTTTTTTCACTCTTTTTTAATTACACACACACACACACACACACACACACACTTCATGCACTCGGACATGCAACAGGGAGAGAGATGGTGGAGTGGATGGGCTGCCCCGTTAGCGCGCCTCATGAGCGTTTCTTGGGGTTAGGTTGCACTTGCTCAAGGCACCTCAGCAGTGGTGGAAACTGGCACTCTCCAGCTACTCAGTCCACACTCCATCACTTGTGGCTCACTCCGTGGACTTGAACCGGTGACCCTCCGGTTCCCTACCGATGAGCTACTGCCGCCCAAAATTTTTCAATCACTATGACATCATCAGTTATTAATGTCCAGTAAGCTGATTTTAATGCGTAAAATCTGCAGAAACCCTCTTTAATGATTAATGATAATGAATAATGATTACCAGCCAACAAAGGAAAATTGTCCATTCCAAATTAAAAGTTTACACCATTAAATAAAACTCTCACCATCTTGATGGTCCTCTGATGGCCACCAGGGGGAAGCAGAGGTTACAGTCTATTTTGTGCTGTGAGTTAGTTGAGTGTAAAATTTAACACGCACACTTAAACACAAAGCCCTGTGCCATTCTCCCCAACTCTTCTTCTGTTGTACACAAAGAGATGTGTTTAAAGAACAAGAGCGCTGTTTGCTCTCATCGAGTCACTGTGGGGTTAATTCCCCCAGCACTGTGCGAAATGTCTCAGTTGAGCAATTGTATATTTTTTCAGTGGCTGTAAATTTGAGCTAGAATCCTGAGTAGAAAAGCACATTCCTTCACAGCAGCTGAATGAATGTTGGAAGCGATAAGGTATGAAAAGAGACATTTCTCCAAAATGATATGCACACAATACACCACTGTTCAGTTCTGCAATGGTCAACGCTACGTTGCGAAAATATTTCACAGATTGCACTCCTGAACCACCACTTCTCAAAAAGCACAAAAGTGAGATGTTACATTCTTTCCACATAGGTAGTTTGGATCACGACTGACAAGTGGCCGCAAATCATGATGGAGAGTTCGATGGTTTATATTTCCAGTCTTTTTTAGTACATTTTTCACAGTCAGTGTTTGCTCAGGCTTCTCTTGGCCTCGGCCATTGATGACTTGACCTTTCCACAGCTCATAAATGTTTTCCCTGCACTACAAATGATTTATGAATTAAAGGAATAGTAGTAAACATAAGACCAATGCCATCCAGTCAGTTGTCCTGGCTAGCTTATCATAAAAACTGGAAACAGCTAGCCTTGCTCTGTCCAAAAGTAATAAAATCCATCTATCATCCTACCTGATTAACTACTTAATTAGATATATGTGTTATCTCATTATTTAAAGCCACACAAAAACAACTGATGTGTAAGAAGGTCAAGTTGTGGTTTTACTGCGGGTTATATGTTAACATTTCTATTTCTCGGCCAAGAACAGGAACTTTCTCAAGTCTCCACACTGGTTGCCTAGCAACTGCCGAAAGGTAGTCCGACACGTAACCCCCAGTAAAACCACAACTTGACATTTTTACACTTTGGTTTTAGCATTAAGGATTAAACATATTAGATGTAGCGTGTAAGTTAGTGATCTTTAGAGGTGTTGATAGGCAGATTTAGTTACCTTTGGACAGAGCCAGGCTAGCTGTTTTCTCCTGCTTTCAGTCTCTATGCTATGCTAAGTTAACGCTGGCATCAGCTACGTATTTACAGTGAGAGTGGTATCAATCCTATCATCTAACTCTCAGCAGCTGTATTATTTAAACATTAGTCATTTAAAAAGATTGGTTGAGAATAAAACTCAACAAAGGTGTACTTATTGCAGATGTGCCCTCTGTAGTACAGTCTCTGCCCCTTGTAGTATAACTGGAGTAGTCTTTACTGAACTAACACTGTTACAGCTGATCCTCTACCCTGTCCCTCACAGGAAGAGATGACCAGCGCTTTAGCCACCATGCGTGTGGACTACGACCAGGTGAAGATCAAAGATCTCGACACCTCCAGCAACCCACTACTCAACAAGAGACGCAAGAAGGCCGCAGCAGGGGCCAAGACTGGGTCCACCGTCTGCCAAAGTCAGTGAGACACGGAGGATTGTTGGTGGAAATCCGGGGAGAACAGCCAGTGATGAAGAAAAGCAGCTCAGAAGAGGGAAGAAACATCAATTGGTGCAGGAGAGGATCATTCAGAGATCTGCTCAGGACTCAAGAGACTGGATGTTGGAGAAATGTTCTCTGGAGTAAAGGGACAACATAGGAACAACAGCAAAGTCCGACCTGGACATTCATAAGACATATCAAGTCGTAATATCACCTGTCAGTGGTAGAAATCAACAGCTCTGTTCACTGTGGGCCTAATCTGTTTTTAATGAATATAATGAATGTATGTAATTTTTAGATCTTGCCTGTTTGTAGGAGTGTCTGTGTGTACACATGAAGTATTTGTAGTGGTTTGTGTATTTGAAAGCTGGATTGCCTATTTGAGGTATCCTTTGGAACTTTGCACTAGTGTGCATATCACACACACAGACAGACAAACGAACTGTGGACAGACTGTGAAACTAGAGCACTCACTACCTGCATTGTCTTAATATTGTCTGTCTTTTGCTTTCAGGAGTTAAAGCAAAGCCTGACACTGACTGTCTTGTCAATAAAATGTAGCCTCCATAATAACTTACAGTTCCATCAAAGGGAGTATTTTTTATTGAAGCAACAATAAAACGGCCTCACACGTACGGCCGAGCAGTACATTTAACTCAGTGTTATGGCTGCAGATCCACATTGTGTCCTCATAATGTCAGTGCGAGGCCACAGAGCTTTATGTAAGCAGTCGTGGTGTAATGGTTGGTTGTGTTACATGGATGAGTTGTGACACTTTTCTTGAGAAAAAAACTGTGTGTGTGTGTGTGTTTAGGCATTGAGTAAAACGCTTCCAGTAAATAGGGTCTGCAGTTTCACTTCATATTAAAACATGAGCAAGACAGTGCAGCCTTTAAGTGAACCTCATCTGTATCGACTCCGTGTGAGATTGCATTTGTCCATTTGGTTGTAAATAAAACTTTATAAAGTAAAGCTGGAGAGTTCATGTGCAGGATGTTTTATTCTGTGGACCTTGCAACTATTGTTTTTATAATCGTGCCTTTCAGGCTTTGCAAGGCTGCTATAAATAGCGGCAGTGGAGTTGTTATTTGGGACACAGCCATCTGACTTAGTGTGTTCGACTGGAAAAGGTCAAGATTATTATGTTTAGATTATATGGTAAGGACCTTTCCCCCACTTTGATCACATGTTCCCCCCCGCAGTTTTTGGAGAAGCTAATCGTAAGCACTACTTGGCTTCCCTGCCGTAAATATGGGATGTCAGCCATTATTAAATGTGGCCCAAATAGACAAACCTCTCAGCTGCTGTTTGGTGCTCCACGTCTTTGAAGGAAGAAAATGCAAGCTGGTTTCAGGATAAAACAATGATGTATTTGTGGGTGGAATCTTCCAGTATGTTACAAATGACATATTTCCTCATAAGTTGGCAATGGTGAGTACTTTTCCTTTGAGTCAGCCATTTTGTAGACAAGCACTGTCATGATTACAGCATGTATCTGTACCACTAATATGATGTTGACATAACAGTGTCTGGTACACTTCCTACTTGTATTATTCCACAAAAGTCACAGATCCTCCACCTCCTGAGGTTTACAAACCTCAGGCACTGATGAAGACACGGACATGAAGACATCTGAATACAACTGAGCGTTGTATTTATGGCAGACAAAGTAAAATTTGAAATTAAGGAGCAAATAATTTAGGTGGAGGTAGCTACATCCTGGAAGTGTGTTATCTCCTGCCAGGCTTGATGATAAAGCTCAGTAAGACAGGTCTGACCAGTATGTCACACAGTGAGTGTTTTGTACGTGCTGCTCGAGGCTTGGGTGTGAGGTGTCTGGGGGCAGTGTAGGATGGGTGGGTGGGGGGTTGGATCACTTTGCCCTATAGGGAGGAATGTGTTTAAGCTCAGTCAAAAGCCATCTGACCTCCAACGGTTTCTTCTTCTCTCTGTGTCATGCTCTGTCTATGTTGTCTGATCTTTTGGGAGCCCCACTGGGTCCCTTTCTAACATAGAGTGGGGTAGAGTGTGTGGGCTTCAACTTTTCCCTGATGTCTTTCTTTTCTTTCTTTATCTTCTGTGTGTTTGTCTCATTAATCCACAGATGTGCGGTTGCAGGCCTTGTGCTTGACAATTAGTGTCATCATTATCATAGGCTGCTGATAAGGGTATCATTACTGCCTCTGAAATAGCCTCATGTGAAGACTGCCTGTGCTTCCCCTGACCACCACATTTACACAATGTCATTGTAGTCCCAGGGTAAGATGCCCAGGCAAATATCTATGATAGATATAACTTAAATTTAATAGTTGAATACTTAATTATTAGTATTCAACCCCAACCTGGATGTACCTTTAACTTTTTTTTTTTTTTGCTTTGCAACTTTAAATCAACGGATTACAAGGTTTTGTTTTATTATTGCTGAAACTAAGGGCCCTCTTTGTCGAAACTCTACACACAAAAACCAAAAACATACAAACAAAATACAAAATGTCTTACATCTCTTTCAAAAGCAAACACTTCAAAACTATATACACTCTTCCCAGCTTTACACACAAACACCAAATAAATAGCTCTTTCCACATGGCAACCGCACACATAGCAAATATAGACTAGAACACTAATTCACTGGGGAAACAAAAAAATTAGTTTATTCTTAAAACTGACATACTTGATACTTATAACAGTATCAGACACAGTCACTGTACTGAACTGTAAACAAAATACAAGATATTGCAACTACAGTCCATGCTATCACACCAAAGAAACCTGAAACCTGAATCCTATTTGTGTGATTTCTAAGTGATCTGTTTGATTGAAGGTGTTTTCACATGCACATTCTGGGTGCAGGTGCCTTACAATTGAGTGTAGTATTTCAATGGCAGTGATTAGCAAACAACACAAACAGGCTTTTAATTTTGAATGATGTGTCGAAAGGTAACCGTGTGTAGTTATTTTAAAAAATAAGTGTGTTTAAGGTTTTTAAGTTGATATGGCTACTCATAAAAATTAACTTGTTCCAACCAGTTTTTCCACATTATTTGTCAACTCATCCAAATAATGTTTGCAATTTATCTAAATCATTAAATAAGAAGTTTGATCATAGCAACCATACATTTATTTAAGTTTTAAAGTACACTAGTTTTAGAGTACACTGTTGTCCACAGGACTTTTGTTGGCCTCTATCACTGATGCCTGTCTCTCTAGAGGATTCATACCTGTGCCATATCCTTTTCATCCTGTCATATGACTGATATTTCTGTACTCTGGTTTGCAGCCTTTCTGTGATTGGTACATTCTTTCTCAGTAAACTTGTTACAGATTTCATTTTTATTTGAAACTGGTCACACCTTGGAAACAGGGGATCACTGTTGAGCAATGAAAAACAATCCCTATAAACAACAGGCTGCATTACTGATGATTTGGGAGTGTCACAGTAAAGGGGTGTTTGCGCTCATGCAATCAGTTATAAATTTAAGCAATCACTTCAGTTCAGTTTGCAGACCGACTCTGTTCTGTTTATTTGCATTGAAAAAGGCTGAATGAATCTATAATGATACTGCATTGTTAAACAATTAAAGATGGATGCTTAAAGTAAGGGGAATACTTCCACAGGAATTGCAGAAAAACAAGTTCTGCAAGTTAGTTTGTTCCTGGAAAATTCCTCCTGAAATCTTCCTGTTATATTCCTGTATGGACCTGAGTTTAGCAACATTGAACAGTGAATGTCCTCTCTGGTTTGTATTATTAAAGGAGTAACTTATAAGTTAACAAAATACAGAATATTCCTATGAAGTCTGATATTACTGGGGAATGTATTAACTGTGACATGTCTGTGTAGTTTAGCTGCATGACTGTATTGAGTCATGTTTCTTATAAAACGTATGCTGTGTAATATCCTAAACGCACGACCAAAGTCATAGGAGTCCAGCCCAGTCAGAACTGGTGACATCTGTCAAAAAGGTGGGTGGGGTATAAGGGGGCAGGTAGGTAGGCTGCTACCTCACTCCATCCAGATTTGGAGAAAGCCTTCCCTCCCGACCTGAGGTCCCACACGCACACAGTGGGTGTGTATTGTGCACAGATAGCATCACTCAGCGGGCTGCTGTTGGACGCACGTACGCACCGCCGCCGCCGCCGCCGCCACGCACCCACCGGACAGACGCCCATGATGAGAGGCTGCTCCAGCCGGTCCAAGCTCACACAGGACGCAGCGGGTAAGAGACGTCGCCTCGGAGGCTCTGGTAGACTTTGTGCATGCGGGAGTTTAAATTGTGCATCTTTAACCGGTGTACCGAGAGAGTCGGGCGGCGAGGGGGGCAGGTCGAGCAGCCCTTCAGGACGTAAACAAGAGTCGTTGCGCTGGCGCTGTCACCGAGACCTTTACCCTACATACCAGCTACAGGCGACAATCTTTGGGTTTTTATAGTGTCCACAATCATTTGTAAGCGCAGCTGTTGGGCTGTAACACAGAGGATGAGGAGGCAGGCGGATGTTTTTGGGGGCTGCTGCCGAAATAATAATAATAATAATAATAATAATAATAATAATAATAATAATGTAAAGGCTTCGTGTAGACTGACGCGGAGCTCCCTGTTTTCTTTTATTATTGTTGTGATATTATTTTTATTCCCCCACACACTGATGGAGATGCTGTTACAGAGGGTCATGGTGTGCGCTGTCTGTTGTGTTTCTGGTTTGTTTGCTACCATGCAATGCATAACATGTAAGTCTTCTAAACACTGCATGGAGCCGCAGCGGACTGTGAACGCGGTGAATGCTGCTGCACTGCCCACTGTTCACATACTATATTGGGAGATGACTTGTCCACTATATTACAGGCTAAAAGCCTGTTAGCTGCAATCAGAGCCTCCTGGCAGCTGCTGGGAGGAGGAGCAGCACGCTGTCTGTTTCCTGTTCATGTCCCAGTGTACAACATGCTAGACACCCCATTTACCCTCACTGAAGTATTTCATACAGTGCACATGAGAGTGACTTCCTGCTGCTGTTTCCACACTGGCTATCCAGTTTTTAGGCAGATAAGATAAGCTGCTTTAAATAGCCCACCAATGAGCTAATACAGACCAACTTTTACAGTGTGCGCCACAGTTAGTTTCTTTAAAACTCTGCTCTGCAGTGTGTTTATATTACCCGGCTGAAAAATCTAAAAATAAATGCAGATGAGTTGGTGGGCCATTTATTTGTGGACCTTAGGAACCTGACATATATTATAGTCTACTAGCAGTCAGGGAATATGAGAGAGAGAGAGAGAGGGAGCTATTTAATTAGAAAACCTCCATCTCACCATATTTAGGTCAGAGGACCTGTTACTCCACCACCAAGACCGACTCTAAAAGCTTAATATAAGGAGTGCATCAGATAGCCCATAAGGAACATAAACAGATGAACAGATAGGCCTACTAACCTGAAAATGTACAGTGACTTACCACTATATCAACCACACCAGCACAGTGTAATTCAACCCAGCACTTCTGCAAAAGTCCTCTCTTTATGAGGCTTATAATTTTTATTTTGTATTGGCTCTATGTTAGTGTGGTGTGGACTTACTTCTGTGGTAATTGCTTAGGCCATTGTGATGGTGAACTGCATTCAGTCTGCCTGAGATAGACAGAATATTAGAAACATCTTTATACGAATTATCTCACCACTTTTATGCCCCCAACAAAATCTGAACATTATAGGCATTATGTCTGTAGAAAATATAGAAGGTGCTTGTTGCAGGCCTGTTGAGTTGGATTACATTACAGGTGTTTCTTATACACAAGCCTGGGTCAACACACAGGCAGATAGGGAGGGAGAGTAATGCTGCCATCTTATGGACATTGTCAGCTCATGCGTTGAACGTTAGCTTCTGTAAGAAAATGTTCACAACACTCAATTAGTGTGATGTAGTGTTGATTAAATAAAAGTACACTAAAATGTAAATGCCGGTTGTTGTCTCTACAGAGTTATACTGACTTGTTATAGCAGGAAAAGCACAGGTGGTACTAAAAGTATTAAAGGTAGCTCCTTTCTATTCAAGCCTCCCAGTAAACTATCTCAGTGAGCCAGCATGCACAATATGAGCACCCTGAAAGTGAAGCAGATAACTGGAATTCAGTCATCGCTAATTTAGTCTTATGTTTTGTGTCTCCTATGAAAAAAGTCTTATTGCTGGTACATTTTAGAATCATCAGACATGCTGAAAAGAAACAGTTTAGTTTAAAAAGAATCAGTACTCAGAGTAAATTATGTTTGTGGTAACATAACGCAGTCAGTTGCAGTTCAACGTCTTCCTTTTCCAAATCAAAGTGTCCTGTTGTTTCTTAAAGGCATAAATGACCAAAAGCCATTTCCCATATTTAGAAACAGCTCATACATTGTATTTTAAATGCTTACAGAACAATTACACGATTTAGATCATGAATTTGGATCGAGCACCTCGGTCATTATGAGGCCTACAGGAAATTGCTGTAGAACAACACAGGCCTTAACAGTCTAGACTGACTCCCATAATAACGATGTGAACCCAACTGGGCTGCTCTTGGCCGACTCTAACCTTCTGGAAGTGACAGTAACACTGTCTGGTTTTGTAGACTAACATTACATTTAGTAAATATACTTATGTGAAATAGGCAAACTGAGCCAAGTCTTAAGCAACCACTGTGGCCAAACATAATGCAGTCTTTAGGCAATATTGAACATGTGGTGTAAGTGCACACACACGCAAGGGTTTTGAGTCATTGAGGCTGATTATGCATCTGCTCAGGTTGAAGCCGGGGAGCTGAACTCAGAGTGCACCAATAAAAACAATTATGGTGCAATTGGTCCCACCTTAACAGATAAGGCAAGAGAGTGAGGGAGATGTGAATCGAGCACAATCCTTACACGCCCACACAGTGCTGAGAAGAAAGACGCCTGTGTGTGTTTGTGTGTGTGGGACATTGAAAGCAGCATTTCTTTGCCTCTGTCTCAGAATGTACTCCATGTGGTGTGATAGTGGTATTGTTTTAAAGGATGATAATGTAAGTACACTAATGCTGAGAGACTGCACACCAACTCACCACCCTGACCTTCAGATCAAGGGGGTCAAGGTGGTGTTTTAGCAGTAACCTCTCGACCAAAACTAAATAACTACATGTGCTGTGATGTGATCTTTGTGTTGTTCCTATTACGGATACAGACTCACACTGAGATTATACTCTTAAAGCTGCATTAATCTAATATATTTTTATATAAACAATAGAGCAGGGTTTGCTCCTTGTGACAACCCCACAGAAATATACCTCCCCTCAGCTCTACGGAGCATTTTAGTGCCTCTCAGCTCACTGATGGATTGTTTTTACTCTTAACTCTCACTGCTCTCATCAGCCTCATCTCCAGCTACAGCAGGCAGCTGGTTTCAGTGGAAAACCAATAAAAAGCGACTGAAAGCTGCAGAACCAAACAGCAGATAAGCAGACAGTTCAGTACTGAAGCTACCTGCATTGTTTGTCCCGGTCTGAAATATGTTTGCGCTGTTGAGCACCCAGCACAGCTCGTGTCATTTACGGTAATGGAGAAAGCGTGGTGCGCTCGTGCTGCGGTCGTTACGGCCGACCGTTGCTGTGGCCCGACCGGAACACGTGACCACAGCACAGAGAGAGACACCGGGGGACCGGGACATCTCTCATCCCCGCAGAGCAGCGCGGATGAAACACCGGTCACCTTCAGAGCAGCATCACGGGAAAAGGCCCCGTGTTCCCGCCGCGGCTGCCTCCACCTCACCGGGAGACGGAATGGAGGACAAAACCCCGTCAAATCCGCGGGAACTCACTCAAAACCCGCTCAAGAAGATCTGGATGCCGTGTAAAAATGGCCTTCCTGAAAAACACATTTCTCAAAGAAAGGGTGCGTATGACAACGTGGCGACAGTGGTTAGCATCAGTGTGTACCGGCACCGTACCGGCACCGTACCGGCACTGCTGTTTGAACCCGGTTTGTGTGCCTATCAACGCATATTTATCGTCTTCCGTCGGAGGTTTGTTCGCACTTGTTCGCACGCAGCCAGACCCCCGGCGGTAACTTCAATAATGAACGCTAATCCGTCCACATGCGTTAAATCCCGATGTGTTTTAATGTGCTAGCAGCTAAGGTTCCCGCGGTGGGGAGCGCAGTTCGCGGGGTTCAGGAGTCTGCTGCTGTTATATAAGGACTCACTGGATGTGCACACAGAGGAAGGCTGCTCGCACCGAGGAGAAAGGACTGGTGTGATACTGGGGGTGTCCATCTCTTTGTTACTGTGTGCCAAGTCAAGCACCAGCTGTTGGTAAACAGGGATTGTACCCCTGCAGTCATGTGAGTGACTCGCCCTGTGGATGTGCTGTTGCATTTGCTCTGCGCTCAGTGTCAGGGTCTCCTGGCTGGAAGGACTTTAAAATGCCAGTGAAATCATGAGTCTGTGGTGGATACATCGGTCTGTGTGAGTGGAGTGAACTAGGCAGTCAACACACAGCAATGTCCATGCTTTAAAACACACAAAGAACCCCATGCTCTCTGGCCCAGTCCTCTGTGCTGCTACTCAGTGTGGAAACTCTCCTCTGCTGATGTCTTGAGCAGTTAAAGCGCAGTGTTTCTCAACTCCATGGATTGTCAGGGTGGTGTAATGTGACTTTGTCTTCGTGGCAGATAACGCTGGATTAAACGTTCAGATAAGGACAATCTAATGTTAATATTAAATCTTTGTCTTTATTTTATTACGCAATATGCAAGATAGTAGAAGAGCAAGTGACGGAGGCATACAGAGCCTTGAGATAAACCTTTACTGAGGCGTCGCACGTTTTACACTGTGTGTATTATGCATGATCAGCACATGACTGACGCCTCCTTTCCCCTCTTCCTCTTTCATTGCAGTATGTATGACCAACTGTCCCACCCTGATTGTGACAGTGGGCCTCCCTGCCAGAGGGAAGACCTATATCTCCAAGAAACTGACCCGCTATCTGAACTGGATCGGAGTGCCCACTAGAGGTACGGCAGCTCCTGTGAACAGAGTCTAATAAACTTTAATGAAACGAAGCCCATTTGTAGAAACATCAGTTGTTGTTTCAAACACGTGACATCCATGTTGAGTTTCATACCTGAGAGAAAGATGAGCTGAAGTGTCTTTGCCTCCGTTTTCCCCATAGAGTTCAACGTTGGGCAGTACAGGAGAGAATGTGTGAAGATCTACAAGTCCTTTGAGTTCTTCCGTCCAGACAACGAGGAGGGGTTAAAGATCAGACGGTAAGAGCGTCGGCTGGCTCCTGACAGCCGTAGCGGTTCATTTGACATGCAACCATGTGACGTTTCTGTTCGTCTGATCTTTACAGACAGTGTGCTTCGGCAGCGTTGAACGATGTGCGGCAGTATCTCACAGAAGAAGGAGGCCAGGTTGCGGTGGGTCAGATGTTAAATGCTGTGTTGGTTTAGATGTTTCAGGCAGGTCAGATACAGAGTAATGACGTTTTTGTTCAAACCTTTGTTTTAAACAGGTTTTTGATGCAACAAACACTACCAGAGAAAGGAGGGAAACCATCATCCAGTTTGCAGACCAGAATGGTTTCAAGGTAACTTGTTGGGCCACAGTTCTGGGAGGCGGCACTGATTCAGTTGACGTTCAGTTCACTAAGCTTGATTTTGTTCCTCCTCCTCGTCTTCTCTCAGGTGTTCTTCGTGGAGTCTGTGTGTGAAGACCCAGATGTCATACAGGAGAACATAGTGGTGAGTGTCCTGAGCTCGTCTGTTTATTTTATCTGAAGAGATCATGAACTTCTGCCCACGTTGCGCTCACTCCTCTGCTGTTTCTCTGTTCAGCAAGTGAAGCTGGGAAGTCCCGACTACACCAACTGTAACACAGAAGAAGCAGTGGAAGATTTCATGAAGAGGATCAAGTGTTATGAAAACTCCTACGAGACTCTGGATGAAGTCCTAGACAGGTGAGGTGAAAGCTGGTGTGGAGAGTGTGTTCGTAAAGATGTCCCAGCTCTGCAAAAATACAGGAATAACTAGCTTAGCAAATTAGCAGTTTCAAATACACTCTGGGCTTTTCATCAGAAACTAATCATGAACATTAGTTTGTTGGCTATTGCTCATGTTTGACAATATTAAAATCAGAAACCTTTGCCTAAGGTTGATTATGTAGGATAGTCCTCTGTGTATCTGCTCATTCACTTCTCTAGTAAGGTCAGGAGTAAACATTAGCCTGCTCTTTGCCTGATGTGGAGACGTGGCAGCACACAGACTGTTTTAACTTTTTAGCATGTTAAAGGTGAATTATTTATATTTCCAAACAACTAATTGGTTCTCATATAGATACACTGGTTAAATGTGTCTGGTCTCCTTTCAGGGATCTCTCGTTCATTAAAATCATGGACGTGGGTCAGCGGTACTTGGTCAACAGGGTGTTGGACCACATCCAGAGCCGGATCGTGTACTACCTCATGAACATTCACATCACGCCGCGCTCCATCTACCTGTGTCGCCATGGTGAGAGCGAGCTCAATGTCAAGGGTCGAATCGGAGGAGACTCGGGCCTCACACCGAGAGGCAAAGAGGTATATCAGACTTTTTCAACAAAGGATATGTCTTTGTTTGATTTTTACCTGACCAGATGAGTTAGTGAAAAAAGGTAATTAGCTTTTTTTTCCTCCATGCAGTTTGGGAAGAAGCTGAGCAATTTCATCCAGTCACAGGGCATCAGCGACCTGAAGGTCTGGACCAGTCAGATGAAGAGAACCATCCAGACAGCTGAAGCTCTCAGTGTGCCCTACGAACAGTGGAAGGTCCTGAACGAGATTGATGCAGTGAGTGCCACGTTCTCGCCTGCTGAGCACAGCTGTTTGCTGACGTGTGTGTGGTGTCAATAGAGTTTAAACCGTGTGTGTGTGTGTGTGTGTGTGTGTTATGTTAGGGTGTGTGCGAGGAGATGAGGTACGAGGAGATCCAGGACAACTATCCTCTGGAGTTTGCTCTAAGGGACCAGGACAAATACCGCTATCGGTACCCCAAAGGAGAGGTCAGTGGCTGAAGTTTAACGCGTTTCTGTTTTGTCTAATGATGGGATGTGGTTATGTAACTGTTAAAGAGTGTTTTTGTGTGTTAGCAGCATGCTGGTGGACAGTGTGTCTCTGTTTGTTTTTTTTGAATTTCCCAATGCAGAGTTGGTCTTCCTTTTTGAATATAGTGACACACACACACTCTCTCTCACGCGAACACACCACAAACACAATTAAACTGCATCCAGATGGCCACTGGCCACTTACTCTCTGCTAATGAGTCTCAGCCTGGACGAGCAGTTTCACAGACAGAAAACAAAGACTTCACATTTGTGTGTGTGTGTGTGTGTGTGTGTGTGTGTGTGTGTGCGCGCGCCAAACTGTGCGGTCAGGTTGTTTACTGCGGGTCTGAATTCCCGCTGGCCTGTTCTCTCCTTAAGTCCATCCCATTACCTCTCCATTAATCTAACAGAGGAAGATGGATGTGGGCATTAGTTGGCTGCCCAGGCGGACAGTGCTGATGTGGGACTTTGGGGAATCTTGTTAAAGCTAGTGTTTGTCTAGACGGCCTGTATGGATTTCTCCACCTGCTGAAATGTCGATCTGTTTACCCGAGGTTGATTATAAGGCAGAAAGTGTGGAAAAAAAAGTCAGATTTACAGCTCTTCCTCTGTTTGTTCTCTGTAGATGATACATATGGATAAAGCTGTCTTTAGTAGTGATTCTCAGAGTAAATCGTCCTCCATCTGTAATGAAATCTGTTTCTAGTAGTGTAGTTCTCTGCTGTCTGTCTGATTTGCCTCTTTCTGTGACTCAGTCCTATGAGGACCTTGTGCAGCGGTTGGAGCCAGTCATCATGGAGCTGGAGCGGCAAGAGAATGTTCTGGTCATCTGCCACCAGGCTGTTATGCGCTGCTTGTTGGCATATTTCCTGGACAAGACGGCAGGTCAGTCCTTTAACTGAACCTCAGGGAGCCTGTGGGGCCCAAGACAGGGGCCCTTCAGTAAGGCACACATAGAAGAACATAAAGTAAGACAAGAGAAAAGCAGATTCACTAATAATAATAATAACAGTTCAGTGAAGATTACAGATCCAACATAATCTTAGAAAAATACTGTAACAAAGTATTTATGTCAGTGTAAAGCTGTGACACACTTTCAAAGTGAGTCCGATTGAGCAGTGTTTCACTCGTGGCTGACTGACCTGATTTCCATGTTGTAGACCAGATTACTGCAGCAAACATCTCTCAGCTCTGTATATAGTATATCTCAAATGTAGGCATGGACAGCCTTAGGATTTTATTTACTTTACTTTAATAGACACCCTTATTGTTTTTTATTTATTTTTTATTACTAAATAAATACATTTTATTAAAAACAGTTATTGTAGAGGATTTGAATATATTTAGATTTTAAGTGTAACAAAATATTGTTTCTAGAGCAGCAATGTTAACAACAGCATGTCACTGAGTAAACTCTTAATGCCCCTGGAAACAAATGTAATCTGTTTTCCCTCCATTACTCCCTGCTAATATGGATTAGCTTGTTCATAACAATATGCTGTCAGTCTAATGAGGTTAAAAACATACCAGTGGTGGAATGGATACTGCTGACCTTAAAAATACCCTGGTTTAATAATTTAGAACTGGTTCCAAATTCAGGTCTCTTACTTTGCATTACTGGATTCAGTCTAGAAATATTACACTTACAGATCAAAAAGGATATACAGCAATTAGAGTTCCTTGTTTGTTCAGGTAGTTTAACGAACTGTTTTGTACATTTGTCTCCACACAGAAGAGCTGCCGTACCTGAAGTGCCCGCTGCACACGGTGCTGAAGCTAACGCCAGTGGCCTATGGTAGGATTGTTGGCGTTTAATGCACACATGCAAATTGATTTCTAATAGGAATAAAAAACACTCTTCTGCCATCTTGAACTAATGCAACCAAACTTCTGTCTGCACGCTCAGGCTGTAAGGTGGAGTCCATCAGCTTAAATGTGGACGCAGTCAACACACACCGAGAAAGACCGGAGGTGGGTATAACAACATACAACCACAGAACCACACAACCACGCATCCACAGTGTCCCATAACATTGCACTAAAATATTAAAAAACAAAATTAGAGTTACGTCAGTACTACCAAGTGCCGATTCACCTTAAACAAGTCTGTGCCACATTTCGGTGCCTGAGAGTGCATCTGTGTGTGAGAGTAGAGTGTATATATATAGCATGTTCAAGTCACAGTGAGTCAGAGCACCCAGCCTTTGTAATGCAAAACCCAAAGCTGGTCAGGGAACATGTCTAACCTGAAGAAACCTGGTCAAGCCTGGTCAAAAAAAATATATCTAAGAACTAAACAGTGTAATGTTACCGTGTTTGATAGCCTGAAAGCAAAGTCCCCTGCACACAGCCACAGCTAATGTTAGCACGCCTGCAGCCAGTGCGACAGTTAAACCCTCTGTGACGACGAAACTTTAAGTAGGCAACAACAACTTCATTGATCATCTTCAGGTAATTAATTAGCTGGTTTGATAAGTTGCACGGGGCGTTTTTCACTCTTGGTTGACGCTTACAGTATAAAAATATTAATGAGCTCAGAGCAGGCTTTGTGTTAGATTATATGTTATCAGGACATAACTAACAATGACAAATGCTCCTGTTGCTTTTCACCCTCACACCCTTTAGATAAACATGCCTGTGAGGGGATGATGTCACAGTTTCTTACAGGGTTTGATGCTGAAAAGCACTTTTGAAAGTATTCACACAATGATCGCTCTCAGTGAAATATACCTGTGAATATATGTACTGTATATGAGTAATGGTATGATGTAAGGCTTAGAAACCTTCACTTACAGGTTAAATGTGGGATTTTTGAAATTGATTGTTCTTTACCCGTGAAGCCCCTGTGTTTTTTTGATGTATTTTTAGCTGAGAAATCATCAGTTTTTCTAAGAAAAATAATTAGATTAAAATTTAAAAAAGCATGACACTCGAAGAACCTCAACCTCTGAAGTGAATACGTCTGTTGGAGTCTTCGCCCCTGGTGTGTGTGCAGTGGATTTCATATGTCCTATGTGTTTTGATCCTCCCCCCTCTGTTTTTCTTTATCAAACAGAACGTAGAAGTGTCGCGGATGTCAGAGGAGGCTTTGCTAACAGTGCCAGCTCACCAATGAGGCAGTACCCCTCACCCCACCCCCCAACCCCATCCTTTTTTACCCTTCCTTACGCACACTCCACCCTCCAGACGCACAATGTACCTGACAGACCTCTAGTCTTTCTTCTCCACCTTCCTTTGATTGGATTACTCTTCACCCTTCACTGTTCTTATCTTCTGTCTTTCCTCCACTTATATTTTAAGACGTGATGATGGTGGTAATTGACTGGAATCCAGTTTCTCATTTTCATTATTAATCCTATGACACGGATCTTGTGTTGTGCACGTTCTCCCATTTTTGGAGAATTAATGAAAAGCAGATGAAGGTATTTTCTTTTTGAAACGATGCTGTAATCCCAACTGTGAAGCAGTGACACTCCAACACCTTTTTTGTTGAAGCAGTGATTATGTGTTGTTTGTTTCCTCATTGATTATGTCTGTTAGACTGATTTTAAACAATTTTAACTTTTACCAGTGTCTCATCGCTAATTTCTTTCGGGAGAAGTCAGGACACTCTAATCTTTTACAGCATTGCACAGCTCCAAACCAGGTTTGCACATAAAAAATCAACTGTTTTTATTTCCTTATTAAATGTACTCTATTATAGGATGTCTAACACTGTCTAATGAAGTACAGACATAATTTGTTCTGTTTTTTTTTTTTTTGTTTAACAATGTGACGGTTCTTACAGTATATTCACATCATGATCAGAATTAAGAAGATATTTCTGTTTTAATGTTTCTAAATAAACACCAGTCAACCATTTAATGTATCCACACCACACTCTTGTGCTTCATTTTAGAAAGTTTGACATGAAAGCTGTTTTCCTCCTTAATATCTGCAAGTTACTTCATAATAAAATGCAACCAGACTGCTGAGCTGGATATTTCTTACTCGCACTACTTGGAGATCAAAAAAGTCCTACTACTTCCTTCCTACTCTCACTATCTACAGATCAGATGTGCAGTGCAGTGCCCTTCCTGCATACTCGGCTGTACAAACTGAAGACTCGAGAGATTTCCCGATTCATTCATATGCATAAGGCTCTGCTGGGGTGCATAAAAAAGTGCTGCCATTCATCAGCCTGAACAAAACACTCACTGTGTCTCACACAGATTTCTTTCTGTCTAGATTTTGAGTTAAAACAAAATGTACGCCAGCTGTTCACAGTCAGTACTACGGGCACTTTGTTAAAAGGTTTAGTCGTCGTTTGAAAACAAAAGCTGATATTGCAATGTCTAAAAGAACCTAAAGCTTACAAACTACCATGTACATGATGGTGTGATTAAAATAAACACGTCATAGGAACTGTTTAAATCATGAGCTAAGTGACAAATGCTGCTATAACGGTCTATCAGGAAATGAGGCTTTTCAAAGGAACCTGAAGCATCCAGCACAGTTTGAAAGAGGTCAAATCATCTGTAGGTGCATCATTAAAAAAACAAAACTTTTCTAATATGACAAACTTTCAAAAACCCTGACATCTGCCACATACAGACTACAGTACATCAACAAACAGTACCACAAGTGTAAAAACAACAGATTAATAGTGTGGCATTGTGTCTAACTGATGTGTGGTAACAACCACAGCTGTAGAGCTTTGTTGTTCCCTCGACTCTGAATGTGTTCATACAGACACAGTTTACTCAGAAGGCAACCTGACACTGATGCGTTCCTCTTTCCAGAATGTGAACATCCATCGTACACCAGAAGACGCCCTGCAGACCGTCCCTCCTCACCTCTGACGGCTGGCTCTCTCGCCCCCTTTCGACCCCTCCTGTGGTTGTTTCACTGTTCCAGTCTGCACAACCTGCTCACAGTGGTGACGTCTGGGTGATGTGCCTCCTCCTCCTCCTCCTCCTCCTCTTCCTCCTTCAAACACCTCCGCCAGACACGCACACCTCACTGTAACCCCGGTGTCTTTTTTTTTTAAAAGGGAGTTGAAGGAGCTGAACCTGAACACATCATGTGTTTGGGCCTCAGTGTTGTTATTTGAAAGCTAAACGGTACACTGTATGTATAGGTATATTTTTAACTATTAACTATATGGTTATCGTCAAATGATCATGTGACTTTCTGCTACATGTTGCTGTTTTGTGCAATTGTTTTCTGTGAAGCTGTCTCTCGTGCAATTTGAAGGTTACAAACCTACTTGGAAACAATACTATAAAACCAGGTTTTCTATGTTGAAAACAGTTCAAGATTTTATACTGATGGCTTTCTTCAGCTGGTGATTCTACACACAGACCTTCAATGAAATTAAAACTGCGCACACAATGTAATGGTCATTTAAAAATGCAATATTTGCTCAAAGCTGTTGGTGTTGATATGGGTCATGTCTGTAAAATACATCCCAACTCCACTATAATAAAGATGTTATTTTTATTAACTCACTGGTCATTACCTCATTATGGATGCAATGATTTATTTATTAGGGCTGCACTGATGATTAATCTGCAGTAATTTCTGAGTCTATAAAATGTCAGAAAATAGTGGAAAAGACACCCATCATATCATGTGTTGTCTGACTGTCTAAACCCAAAGACATTCAGTCAGTAAACCAGCAAAGTCACGTTTAAGAAGCTAGAACCACTGATTCTTTGCTAAATGCTTAAAATGAGAGACTGGTGGAGCATGAGGATGGCACGGTGAAAATACGATCAGATTGTCCAGTACATAATATAATCTAGTATACCAATACTAAATATAAAAACCCTTTATTACTGCTGCCACTACTTCAGTGCAGTTGAGCAAGGCACCAGCAGCACTACAAACCTTTTAGTGACCAGCAAATACTCCTAAGGAACTAAAAGCATTTAATGTTATTCTAGATGGTTTGGATTAAGTTGCAAATGTGAATAAATTGTGGATGTCAGAAATGGCTCACACATGGTGTGCAGCATGGAGGTATTACTTCCTCTTTCTCACAGCTGAAATAACACAGTAACAGCGTAATGCTGACAAAAACAACTTCCTCAGAGGCAGAACAGATCCATTTATAGGCACAGCAGCAACATGCTCAGCATGAGTGACAGACAGTTAAAGGTATAAAGAGTTTTATTATCTTTCATTATTTTCATACATGGGCTTTGGTGGCTTCTTTACAGACACCTCTCCCTCCATGTCTGCGATTAAACGCCACACACACCACTTTCCTCAAACATGGGTTTCCTGAACAGAGAAAATTTGGAGACAAATTTGAAACAACAGTGACAGAACATACAGACTCATACACAAAATACAAAAACCTGGCCGTCTGATTGGCAACATCACCCTGTATGACCCTGTACTCATGGATATCAACTTGATTAATACTTTAAGGACCCGCCTTTGTTTGGGGATTTGTTCTAAGTGGCTGAAAATGAAACTGGTAAATATTTCATTATATACAGTCATCGATATTTATGAGTACAGGGAAATACTCGAGACGGGCGCAAAGGGTGTCATCTCCAGATTGGTCATGTTCCTCTCGTCTCCTCGCTGATTGGCTGTTTACTCCTTTAGTCCTCCACTCCTGTGCTGATTGGCCCTTGCAGCGTTTCTTCCAGCTTGTGTGGGACCGCGGACAACACTGTCATCAGAACTGTGGACAGGAGAAGGCAAGTTACTTTCCATGTGAGCATTTCTGTCTTTTACAATAAAGAACATCTGTAGACAACCACAGCTATGACTCTGGCTTTTGTAACGTCAAACAAAAAAAAAAAAAAGGTTTCTTACATTCTTGAGGAATTCTTCGGCGACGATACGGGCCCTGGCATTGACAGACAGTTTCATCTCACTGATCTCCTTGTCGATCTCCTCCATGAAGTGGATGACAAAGTCCACCAGCTTGTGTTTGTACATCTGCTCCGTGTGGAAGTTGGTAATCAAGAAGCTAATATCGTATCCCTGAAATCACAGTGCAAGAGAGGAAAGAAGTGAGTCAATCACCAGTCAACTAATCAGACAAACATATGACTAGTTTAATTAATGGGAATATACATTGTAAATATTGAGGGATTTAATGTCTGTGTACAGTTTCTATAACATCTGAGCAAGAGTGCTATGACGTTTGCCATTTATGAAGTTCACTCTGTTCCTCTTTCTCCCGTCATACTATGACTGTACACTGATTCCTCTTTTGTCACTCACTTTTTTTATTCTATTATATACAACCTAGATTACCTCTACGGGTTTCCTCCTCAGAATGAAGAAGTTCTCTGCTCTCATCATCATGAAGCGCATGAACTTGTGGCAAAGGATCTTCTCAATCTCATCAGCCTGAAGGGAATCAGTTGCATGTCAGAAAGTGGACGAAAATGGATGAAATGTGAACGTCTCATAACCAAAAACAGTCAAACTCCTGCTGTTGTTAATCACCTGTTTGACAGCGATGCTGACTCTGACAGAGTTGATGGATCCCTCAATGAGAACCTTCTCCTTGTCATTGCGGCTGATCACCACGGGCTGAAGTAGCAGTTCCTTACTGCTCCTGTAACCACAGCACGATCCATCCATTACAAATAATGGCTCGGTTTTATGTTTTCTAGATGCAGCAAGTGTCTGGCTCTACACAGAACATTAGAAGTTAAAGGGACTTGCTGAAAAACTCTTAATCTTCCCATTGTACTGGGAGGACACCTGCAAACAGGCTGCAGCAAGTCCCCTCTGGCTAATTGTACAGCCCTGCTTGCCCATGCTTGTGTACATTTTTCCCTACTGCATTTTCTTATGCAAGTTTGCACAAGTCCACATTTGTGTGACAGCAATCAGCTAGAGGGCTGGAAAAACGGTAGAGCGGGGGACGACGACAAGAAGTAAGACTGCACAATCCAAACACATGCCATTAAACATACCTGACCTCCACCTCTGGCTTATTGTGACGCTCCACCACCTGAGAGGAGAAGTTCTCCAGACAGAGGGCCGCCTGCAAGGTGGCCCTCACAGCGTTTAAGTAGGGGCGCAGAGTCGCTGTCTGCAGGAGAAATGGAATAAGATCAGTATCTGGGTGGATCCCACTGCAGGGAATATCTTGCTGGTTGATGCATTTGTTATTTAGATCAGAGTAAATGGGCAAACTGAACCTCCCAGTCTAGCAAAGGGTGACTCGACTAGCAGGGTCAGCTTATAAAGTCAGGAAGCAAAATGAGCTTCATGCAGGGATGCAGCGGCTACTGCTCAGTTACAACACATTTACAGTTTATCATCTTTAGATATTCAAGATAAAACCACAAACAGCCATTTTAGAAAGAAAAAACACAGTAATCTGTATGAATGTGATACATTTATCTGTTCTAATCTGGTTCTTATAACTGGCTTTATCGTTAGCGGATGAGGGGCTTTCAGGTGACCGAGATGCGGCTCATTCAAATTATTTACGTCCATCCCTCTACTTATGTCAGATATATGAAGTATCCAGTGACAGAGCTTTGGAGAAACTACCAGTCATAGTAACGAGGGAAAAGGGGGCCGAGAGGAAAAGACAGCTCAGCTCAATCACTTTAGTTTCTGCAAACCGTATCAAGGATGCCCGTCCTCTGGTTTCACTGTCTGCAGCCAACCAGAAATACCGTCTATGAGAAACACGGAGCTAGCTAGCTAAACTCGCCTCGACCGTAGCCATAGTTAGCGGAGGAAAACGACTAAATAATAAAATATAAAGACACATTCAGTGCAAGACACTTACCATTTTTGCGCTGTAAAAGACGGAAGTTCCTCAGCCACGCCTGGGACTCCTCTTCCGTAAATCCTACATAGTCAAGTAGCGAAAGGGTGCGCTACTTTTTGACGTAGCTCTTCGTTTGAAGTAGCGGATTTCTGCGCACAACGGCAGTGCTGTTGTTTGCGCTTCTTACTCCGCCCAGGTGGAGTACGGTTTGTTTAAAACGAGCATACCCTTGGATGAGTCCATTCCGCTCTGTGAACAGGAGACATATCGCTCGGTGACCGTTGGTCCTGGAGTCATTTTTACTTTTTGTTGCCTGTTTTTGAATAAAATATGTTAAATTTCAACGTTATAACCGATATATCACCCACTTAAATAGCTTAATTACAGGTTTAATGGTAATACATTTTTTTTAATGCACCTTGGCACAATATGGTTTGTTCCGATGATACCATTATAGCATTAGGGTAACGTATTCACATCTCTTAGAGTTTGTTTTGATATATATTAAGATTTGAAAGTGCATCTTCAATTTTTATAAAGTTCCGTAATTTTTATATTGTTTTTGAAAGTGTTTTTTTGTCGTAAATATGCCACAATTCAATTAGACTGTATTTCACACACCCCTCTAATCACAATGGTTTTTTCCATCATGGATACCATTCACTGACGGTAAATATCGTTGCTCTTAAACATTCAAACATACATATCGGTGCTTTATGTTTTCACCGTTCAACTCTCCCAATGTTAAAAGTCCTTCGTGTAAAACCTTCGTGTGCTAAACCGTGAAATCATAGCGACCGGTAATACCGTTGAAGAGTACATTGGGCCGTCTGGGCCCAGTTGGCTTTCTATTAAGCAGACCTGCGTGTACGTGAGCGTGCTTGAGTGTGTATTTAATGTGTGTGTGTGTGAGTGATAGAGAGACACACAGGCACACGTAAACAGAGTAAGGACCACAGCTGCTCTCCTCCTTTATAACCCACACTGTCCATCCTGTTTCAGTTTATTCAGACACTGCCAGCAGGTCTCTACCACACAGCATCATGAGTGAATTAAAGGACTGCCCCCCTCTGAAATACTACGACTTCAAGCCCGTCGAGCACGTGAAGGTGTGTCCCCGCTACACGGCTGTGCTCGGCCGCTCAGAGGACGATGGCATCGGCATTGAGGAGCTGGACACCCTGCAGCTGGAGCTGGAGACGCTCCTGTCCTCAGCCAGCCGCCGCCTCCGGGCCCTGGAGGAGCAGAGACAGGTAGGAGACAGTTGGACACCTCCATCCTTAATCAGCTTGTTCATGTGGTATCAGTCTTTGTTCCCCAGCCAGTGGTATGTGACTGTGAATCCCAGACACATATTCCCAACAATGCTACTATTTACATCCCCTTCTGCGCTGCGTCTCAGATCCTCACAGACTGGCAGGACAAGAAGGGGGATAAGCGCTTTCTGAAGCTGGGGAAAGACCCAGACCCCGCTGCCTCCTCCCGCCACAAACCAAAGAAGCAGAAGTTGGATGGCAAAGGCAGTCACGGGCCAGGTCCGGGTCCTGGCAGACCCAAATCCAAGAATCTACAGCCTAAAGTCCAAGAGTATGAATTCACAGACGATCCACAAGACATTCCCCGAACTCCTAAAAATGATGCACCCAACAGGTCAGCAACAGCAGCTCCTCCTAATAGTTCTGCTATCTCTATTATACTGTACTCTCTTTACCTCAGTGTTATTCCTCATTATTGTCACACAGCGGTTCTGTAGTAATAAGTTATATGTAATATGTTTTCACAAGGTGTCTTTGTATTTAAAATATTGTTGTTTTTGTTTCAGATTTTGGGCATCAGTCGAGCCATATTGTGCTGATATCACAAATGAAGAGATACGATTGTTGGAGGAGCTTCTGAAACCCCCGGAGGATGAAGCAGAGTATTTCAAAGTATGGTTGTACCTCAGCATCGCTAAAATTCGGGGAGTTGTTATTGTGTTCAATAATACATTTATGTTAATAAATGTGTGTTAAGCTTTAATATTGTCTGTGTTAGACTCCAGCTCTGGGGAAGCACTACTCTCAGCGGTGGGCTCAGGAGGATCTGCTGGAGGAGCAGAGGGAAGGAGCACGAGCCAATGACAAGAAGAAGAACCTCATGGGGGGCCCGCTGTCTGAGCTGGATGCAAAAGGTGAGTGAAGACTGCAGCCTCTGCCTTTTAAATGATGATGAATGTCAGACTGGAGTTACTGCACAAGCATGCATCCACCCTCATACTCATCTTCATCTTCAACTACTGCAGATGTGGACTCCCTGTTGAAAAAGTCAGAGTCCCAACATGAATCTCCAGAAGATGGATGTCCCTTCGGTCCCCTCACACAGCGTCTGCTCCAGGCCCTTGTAGAGGTCAGTATGTTGTCATCCAGCATGTACACTAATAAAACAGTTTTTTCATTATAAAAATAACCGATAAGTGAGATGTGGCATCTGAAATATGTATGTTTAAGTATTGTGGAAACACTGAAACATTTTATTCTTTCTTCCAGGAGAATATTATATCCCCCATGGAGGATTCTCCTATACCCGACATTTCAGGGAAGGACGGTAATGACGGCGCTGGAACTTCTCCTCGAAGCCAAGGAAAAGCTTTTAGGTATTACAACGCTCAAGACCTAATGAATCAGAAGCACCGAGATCAGTTCTCCACATTAGATAAGTTGGCACGTTGGCAGCCGTTTTTACACACAGCCAGTTTACACACCACAGTGCTGCAAACTGGCTGTGAGTTTGGTTCATTCAGGCCTTGTGTATCTATGGAAAAAATCCTAATCACGATCATTTGGGTCAAAATTGAAATCACG